GTGACACTGAAGACTGGAGTAATGATGCTGAAAATACAGCTGCGCATCACAGAAATAAATTACAGTTTAACAGATATTCACATAGAAAACAACTGTTTTAAATTAGAATAATATTTAGCAATTTTTACTGTATTTTTAATTAAATAAATACAGCCTTGATGAGCAGAAGAGACAGAAGAGAAAAGATTTTCAAACTACAGGTCTTAAATGTCTTAAAAAGTTTATTAAAAGCAAAAATAGAATAGTCTGTGTGATTTGAGTACAGTGAAGCTCAGGATGAAGCTGCACCTGTGCTGTGATGATGATGATGATGATGCTGCTGCTGCTCGTGGCTCATGGCTGCCATCTGCTGTCGAACAGCGTGATGAAGTCTCCTCTCCTCCTCGAACCGGCGGCTCATCTCATCTCGCTCTTCCTCCAGACGCGACAGAGCAGAGTGAATAAACTCCTCCTACAACCAGAGGAAAAGAAAAAGTCACTTCCGAGTGAAACTTAACATTTAATAAGGAAAACATGTCAGGCGCAGCTAAAAAAAAGTCAATTTCGACTGTAAATCTCCATATTATCCACACGAGTCTATTCAGATGCTGCATAGTTTGTTCATGTTTAATCAACTCACCATCTCTTCTCTGCTCTCAAAGTCTTCTGGGATGATGATGTGTGACTTCTGGAAGCTCTCTGGGAGAGAATAACTTTCCAAGCCATCACCTTTTAACATCAGTAGGGACAGTAATCATCAGTACAGTTAGTGCGGTGAAGCAGATCTTTCTCACACACACACACACACGTGTGTCAGAGTGAAGCGGGACTCACCGTCGTCTCTGTGTGAGGTGTTCAGAGCCGAGCTGTTTAGCAGCTCCTGCACCTCCGTCTTCAGCTCATCGTTATCTCTAGCCAGCTGGTTCAGTTTCTCCTGCAGGAGGCAGTAATGCAGCATATTTACACCTCAACAACTTACTGGAGGCGCTGATACTCATTTCACATGCAGAAATATTGTCCAATCACAACACAGCTAATTTACATGCGTTTCTTTAAGTGTTGGCACAAAACTGAAATTCTAACTTCAATACAAGACCTTGAAAATTATTGATATTTGATACCATTTACCACAGGAAGAAATTGCCACAACATTAAGAGCATAAAATTTGAAGAGCGTCTAACTTAATTTACTTTTGACCAAAGTCAAAGCATTTTATTATTAACTGAAACACTCATGTCTGAAAGCTCTGAGCGGATTATGTAGTAAAAGTAATAATAATAATAATATTTTTAAAGCAGAAATATATTACTGTTGTAATATAATTACACTTTACAATGAAAAGTATATTATTTTACTTTATTAAAATGTTTACTATATTTTAGACTAATAATTATTAAAAAATGTATTTCACAAGAGTAAATAATTATTCGTTATTTTTACTTTTGTAGCAGGATTTTATAATTAATGAGTAATGCTTTAATGTCTTCATTTGCAAGAGTTAAACCCTTGATTCAATATATTAATGAAATTATATTATCTCAATGATTTGCATCCTGAAAATAATTACACAAATAAATGTGAATTTAATTTATACTAAAATACAGATTCAGCAAAGAACACAAAATCTCCCCCTTGAGATTTATGAAAGTTAATATTTCATAATATTATTTCATGAAACGTTCACGGTTCTCTGATGTTGGTTAATGGTCACATTACAAGTGCAAGTTTTTAACAAAATTATTTTATTTTACAATAGTCAATGATTAACTATTTTGACTTTTGTAGTTGGATTTAATAATTAATAATGACTTAATTTCTTCACTTGCAAAAGTTAAACCCTTGAGCGTTTATTTTGCAAATGTGAAAAGGCGTAACTGGTGCACAGTGCGTTCCCAAATGCACATTAAAGTCACATGCATTGACTGTGAACTCAGAGATGCTGAAATCACAGGATCATGAGCTGATCGTGTATAAAAACAAAAAACTATATAGTCTTTAATTAAAATGCACACTCTGGGGTGTATCAACTTGATATCAGAGAAAAGATCGAGTGATCTCAGCCGGAAAAAAATTAGTTTCCAACATATAAAATTGATATGCATAAAAAAAATCGATATTTCGGACAACACCAATGTGTTTAATGGTAGGGTGGAAGATGGTCAAGTGGCAGTGTTTACCTGCGCCTCCTGCAGCTGCACGTGACTCTGCTCCAGCTGCACTTTGCCCTGCACCACGTCGTGCTGCAGTCGATCCATCAGCTGCGCCTGCTGCAGGAACTGATGGTGCAGATGTTCTCGCTCCGCCACCAGCTGCTGGTATCCAGCCATGTACTGCTGCAGGTGAGCCAGACACTGATCCCTGTGCTCCTGCGCAGACGCCAGCTCTCCGCACTTCTCCTGCAGCTGATGAGAGGAAGACCAGACAGCCGGGTTAGGAGCGCAAACACTACAGCTGAACACAAATCAGTATCCCTTTGAGACAAAGGTTTCCAAACTTGTTTTGTCAGCCAGACTCTTCAGACACAAAATATTTACTTGATGTTGTTGTATTTAAATGCATTGCCATATCGGCTTCACAGTCTATTACATGGAAGATCAGGGTTATTATAGTTAGTTATAGTTACCATTAAAAAATGATTGTTACTTGAAATAAAATAAATGATATATATATATATATATATATATATATATATATATATATATATATAAAAGCAAAAATGACTAAACATGACAAACAACAAAATTACTAAACTTCAAAATACTAATAAAAACTATAATAGTATCTCAATGATACTAAAATACATATTTAACAAATTATTCAAAATATTTTCTTGGAAGTCCCCCTGAGGTTTTAAGGTGATATTTCAATAATTTAATAACACATTCACATGCTCACAGTTCTCGGATGTCGGGTAATAGTCACATGACAACATGCAAGCAAACAAATAAAATATTTAATTGTTTTATTTTGACTTTGTAGCTGGCTTCAATCATTATTAAATGTTATAATAATTATACAATTACTATTATTATTATGGTTGTTATAATAATAATTATTAATATTATTATTAATGTTTTAACTAACAAAAATGAAGTGATATATTACTGTTGTAAATTACAACTGTACTGTGAAATTGAAAAATATTAGATCATTTTATTTTACACTACAAGTCACAATACTAATATTTCTGTCTTAAATTCTGTACTTTCAGACCCTGACGTTTTAAACATTTTAAATCCTCAAGCTTTTATTTTTGGTTAAATACTGATGAAATGCTGTCCACAAAAATCTTGGAGTTAATGTATAAAGTGAACCAATCGCATATTGATTTCCCAAAATGCACAGTGAAGCCACAGTGCTTGCAGAGATGAAGTTTGCTCTATGTACTGTGAACCGACCATCAGATTTATTGTTAAAGGATTATCAGCTGCTTGTGTTTTCCTTTATATTGACAGCCGCAATAAGCTATATCAAGCATTTTTTATTTTTCCATCGGGTATAATTATGAGCTCTTCATCAACCCCTGCTTTAAGATAACATCTTCTCCTTTGATTTCTATGCAGACACACACCTGTTCTTTGGCATTGTGCAGGTCTTCCTGCAGCTGACCAATCTTACGAGCGACCTCCTTCTTGATGTGCTGCTCGGACTGCAGAGCGCTGGTCAGCTCCATGTTCTCATTGGTCTGGAGGAGGACAGAGCTCAGAAGTCAGGGGTCAGGTTCACTCGTGTGCGCAAGTCATCTGTCACTAGAGCTCACCAGCTTGACGAAGCCGTTCTGCAGCTCGGCCAGCTGGTTTTTGAGGTCTCGGTTCTGGGCCAGGGCTCTGCTGATGGTGGCCTTGTCGCTCTGGACATCCTCCAGAATCTGGAGTCGATCCTGAGCCTCTTCAGCGGCGCGTTCTGCGTGTCTCTCCAGTTCTTCCAGCCTCACTTCTATATATATATTAAAGAGCTTAATTTACCTCCAATAGCAATTGTTTTTCATGCAGAAAAAAATGGATATATAAGGAAGTTATTTTAAAGTCATATTTTTATTTTATTACCGTATTGGCCCGAATATAAGACGACCCCCCCCGTCATCTGTCACTAGAGCTCACCAGCTTGACGAAGCCGTTCTGCAGCTCGGCCAGCTGGTCTTTGAGGTCTCGGTTCTGGGCCAGGGCTCTGCTGATGGTGGCCTTGTCGCTCTGGACATCCTCCAGAATCTGGAGTCGATCCTGAGCCTCTTCAGCGGAGCGTTCTGCGTGTCTCTCCAGTTCTTCCAGCCTCACTTCCTGTTCCTGCACCAGTCGGCTCAGCTGCTCGTTGTCTCGCACCTACAGGACACAACAGAGCACTCAAATACCTCTGTAATAAGCGTCTGATTTCATAACATTATACCACCAAGCCCTAGTTTCTGTCAGCTGTACAGGTCGAAATGTCTGCATTTCAACACATACATCACACATTTTTAACAAAGTTTACACTTCTAGTAATTACAATTGTGATGCAACATATTTCAAGGTTAAAAATGCAAATTAAGATGCAAATTAAAAGCCTTGAATGCAGTGGTTATCAACCAGGGCCTGGCCACAAGATGACTTAAGATTACTTAAAATAAGATAAAACAAGTATTAAATAAAATAAAACAAGAAATTTATATACGCATTACATTACGTGTTTCATGGCACACTCGTTTTATGCGTATTTGGCTCCACCTATTGTTGTGGGTGTATTATTGACATGTCAAAGTCTAGACCCTGAATATAAGACGACCGCGTTTTTTCAGATGTATTTCCAAGAAAAAAACATCGTCTTATATTCGGGTCAATACGGTAAAATTATATATTCTTTATAATTAATATAAATACATTCAGCTCTTAAAACTTTTAATTTTAATCATAACTATTTTTATTTTTTAATATTAATTTCACATTTTTTAATTTTAAGTAGTTTTTGTCAATTCTGAATTTACAGAAACTAGGATTAAACCCATAGATTAAAATAAGTTTCAAAAACAAAACTAGGGCTAGGGGCCCTTCGAATATCATTGTGGACAATGAAGGGGGCTTAAGAGCCAAAAAGGCTGGTCTAATGCATTTAAAATAACATATTAATCTAAATATACTACAATAAGGATGCGCATGCTGCATGATCTAGAATCTTCACTTGTAAGTTTAGAAAAACATGAGTCAGTTGTAAAATTTAACAACTAAAATGCGTGACACAAAGCATGCGTCACATGGTCAGTGTAGGTCACCTGTGCTTGGTACTGCAGACTGAGAGCGTCTCTCTCCTCCTGAAGGCTGCTGATGGTTTCCTGAAGGGCCAGTTCACTTTCTGAAGGGCCTGAGGCCTGTGACACGGCCTGCGGCTCCTGCTCTTTACTCATCAGAGCTGCGGACACAAGACAAACCTGTCATGTTTCTGTCTGAAATGTGTTTCCTCGCTCGAAACCTGAATGTTCTTTCTGGACACATGATGAAAAAGCTAACTTGTCTGTGTTTGTTTTATAAAAGGGATAGTTCCGGTGCTTGATTCTGATTGGCTGAGCCGCGTTCGAAGCTGTTGTAAATGACTCTACAAAGTAACATACACCTTTGTTTACTTCTGTGTGTTGCTCGGCAACCACTTTGTAGCAACCACAACTGTTTCTGAGGAACTACATTGTTTGGTGGAAGAATACTGTTTTTATTAATATCATTACACTTTATTCGCTCTGTTTTATTCTGTGAAACCTTACTACGTATATGGAATAACCGTTTTATAAAAGCAATAAGCCCCGTGAAGCCGTGGTTTACAGTGAATTTATAACAGCTAAGGGGGTTTTAGACACTCTGCTTGGCGTCGTAACAATGCCCCTTAGCTGTTACAAATTCACTGTAAATCACGGCTTCACGGGGCTTATTGCTTTATTTTGGTAAGCAGGGGAAAAAAACACTTCATTGTGTCATGATCAATGAGAATGTGACGTAAAGGGTGTGTGTGTCATGTCTTGTACCTGTAGCGTTCTCCAGCTCTGTGATCTTCTCCTGCAGCTCCTGAATCTGAGCAGCAGTGCTGTCGCGCTCCTCTGACATCAGACGCACCTACACACACACACAGACAGACACACACACACAGACACAGACACAGACACACACACAGACACACAGACAGACACACACACACACACAGACACAGACACACACACACAGACAGACACACAGACAGACACACACACACACACAGACAGACACACACAGACACAGACACACACACACACAGACAGACAGACAGACACACAGACAGACACACACACACACACAGACAGACACACACAGACACAGACACACACACACACAGACAGACAGACAGACACACAGACAGACACACACACACACACAGACAGACACACACAGACACAGACACACACACACACAGACAGACAGACAGACACACAGACAGACACACACACACACACAGACAGACACACACAGACACAGACACACACACACACAGACAGACAGACAGACACACAGACAGACACACACACACACACAGACAGACACACACAGACACAGACACACACACACACAGACAGACAGACAGACACACAGACAGACACACACACACACACAGACAGACACACACAGACACAGACACACACACACACAGACAGACAGACAGACACACAGACAGACACACACACACACACACACACAGACACACACAGACACAGACAGACACAGACAGACACAGACACACACACTCAGCATAAACAAACTACATACTCGTAGGTAAAATAAAGTTATTACTATACTCAATATTTTATTTTACAGCACAATACAAAAGAAATATTTCTTATTTTAATATTTTGATAATACTACTAATAATAATAAAATCACAATAGAAATCATAATTATATTTATTGTTATTATCTTAAATCCATATTAAAAGGGTCAAAAACAGTGGGAATGTGGCCTATTTGTTTACTTTATTGTTACTGAAAGAGGTTTGAATTTATTCTTGTAAAGAGTGAACCCAAAATTTGAACACCCTTAAAAACACCCTTATTTGTGCCTTTTTGTGTCTGGATGTCGAAGCAGCAGCAATATGAGATGTTAAATGTTTATCATATCACCTTTCAAATGTCTGGTCAATTTTTAATCAGTGAGATACTATTAAAGTTTTTATTAATATTCTGAATTAGATTTTATTTTGATTAGTTTTTATTTTAATATTTTCTGTTTTAATTTTAATTTTTGCAGTCATTTTTATTTTATTTTTTTTTATATTTATCAATTTTATTTTGTAGTAGCTGAAATCAATCAAATAAATTCAAGGTTCTTATTTCAGTTGAAGTTTAATGTAATTTCAAGTAACAGAGCTTTTTTATGGTTTTAGATTTAGTTAACTATAATAACCCTGGTTTAAATCACAATCAGAAAAATTACATTTATATTTTTTCCAAATTGTTCAGCCCTAAAAGGATGGTTTGCACATGGTTTAAAAAAAAAAAAAAAATCTATGCAAATTTACTCCCCTGTAAAATCACCCCCCTAATAATTTTAGGAGGAGTAAGAAGTGATAGCAAAGATTTATATTGTTAGAAAAGATTTATATTTTGAATAAATGCTGTTCTTTTTAACTTTTTATTCCTCAAAGAATCCTGAAAAAAGTATCACAGTTTCCTAAAAAACTGTTGATAATTCTAATAATAAATCAGCATATTAGAATGATTTCTGAAGATCATGTGACACTTTATACTGGAGTAACGGCTGATGGAAATTCAGCTTTGCATCACAGAAATAAATTATATTTTAAAGGATATTCAAATAGAAACCATTATTTTATATTGTAATAACATTTTGCAAGATTACTGTTTTTTCCTGTATTTTTGATCAAATAAATGTAGCCTTGATGAGCAGAAGAGACTTCTTTAAAAACATTACAAGTCTTACTGATCCCATACTTTTGACCGGTAGTGTATTTATATATTGCAACAAATTTTTTTTTGCAATATTGTATGCGAGTGTGTTTGTTTACCTGAGACAGAAGCTGTTCTGTTTTGTCCTTCCACACGTGTCCCTCCTCCTGTATCTGTACAGCGTACTGATCTCTCTCCACCTGCAGCTGAGCCACCGACTCCATCAGCTGCACACACACAAACACTCAAGACACTCAGGATGACATTCAAGACTAACACAGACACAAACATGCCCCAAATTTCAGCAGCACACACCTGAGCTGCATGAGCCTCTATCTGGTGCTTTTCTTCCAGGAGGAGCTGAACCTGCTGGTGCTCAGACGGAGAACCTGACTGACTGGAGAACTGCGGGAGCGATGTGAAGAGGGATTTCACATCACAGGAATACTATCATGAGCACAGTAAATGTTTAAAGCGTCTCCTCACCTGCTGCAGCATGCTGTCGGCCATCTCCAGCTGCTTACGGAGCTCATCAACCTCCTGCTTCAAGCCGTTGTTCTCATTTACTCTCAGCTTGAGATGCTCGGACAGCTCTGAGCTCTGCTGTCTGGACTCTTCGCTCACATTACTGACACAGACCATATTCATATAACATACACTCATATGTGACTCTGGACCACAAAACCAGTCGTGTGATGTATTTTGTGTATACTGTGTGATAGATAAAAATAAACCGAAATGAAAAATACATTTCTGATATTTATCATTCTGTTGTCCTGACAGAGATTCTCAATCACTTTCTATAAAGTGATTCCTTGAAAAGAAATTGTACAGAAAAAAAAAAGAATTAATTGAAAAAACAAAAGGTAGCAAAAGTATAATTTCCCTGATTTTAACACATTGTAAGTTTATTATAGCAAGGAAGTTAAAATGTCTAGGTAGCGGACAAGTGCAAAAGAAGAGAAATTCTGGCATGCAATTTTCAAATCACTAATTCAAAAATCACAATAGATATTTTCTCGGTGTATAGAGGCAGACGTTATAACTGAAGTCAAGTTAGACTGATGTTTAGGTCTCACCGCAGCACTCTTCCCTGGGAAGCTGAAAAAGGAATCTGGGCCATTTCTTTGAGCCATGCACTTCAGCACGGAAAGCAGCTTGACAGCATGAGGAGGCTAATAGATAAAAGAAAAAAGCAACAGCATTAAGAACAAAAAATGAACTCACACACACACAAATAAATACTTAAGAGTCTGACTGCTGTATTTTTCCCACACACATAAAAGATACTGTACACTATACAAAATATACAGTCACAAATCATTTCGTTAGTCTGAATCCTACTCATGTTGTGCCAAATTTGAGAAAGATCTTCTGGATTTAGACATGGATTTCATTTCTGAATTTACTGAGGTAAACTAACCTAAAACATTTCCCAACCTGAGACACATTTGGTCCATCAGCAACGAGTACAGGCAAGAGAGTCATAATAATGGCTTCTGCCTGTAGGTTATGATATAGACACACATGGATGTGTGCTCTTCTATTGCTCTGATGGGTTTATTTCACGCTCTGATCAATGGTAGTGCCACAGTCCCGCAGTTCAGAAACACAGCCTAATGCGTCAAACCCTCCTGCCTTTCCACTGTCTCAACATCTCCCTCATGCACTGAAGACTAAACGGAGGACAAGGACATACATTTTTTGTATTTCGTGTATTTTTAGTAAATTGTGAAAGTGTATTATTCAGAGCATGTCATAGAAATTAATTAACAAATCAGCTTCTATTTATTTAAAACAAATGACAGTCCTAGTACTTTATAAAATATATAATCAATTTTTCGAGATCACAGCATTATGACTGAGTGTGAGGTGGAGAAGCGAGATGTTTCTCAAATAGTAGATAAAGAGGAGAAGACCATTACCCATTGGCCTTGTTCTCCTTTCAGTTTACTGAAGAACAGCTTCAGTTCCTTCACTGTGATACTGTAGCTGGCGAGCACACCCAGCATGTCCACCATCAGATCTGAAAAACACCACACATACACACGCAAACATGAGGTTAATGCTTCATTACAACTGAAGAGGAATTTATAAAAGGCTGAATTGTGACCCTGGACCACAAAACCAGTCATAAGGGTCCATTTTTAAAAATTGAGATTTATGCATCATCTGAAAAAAAATGTATGCATCATCAAAGCTGAATAAATAATCTTTCAATTGATGTATGGTTTGTTATGATAGGACAATATTTGGCTCACACACATCACTCGCACACACACACACACACCACTCACTCTCACACACACACATCACTCGCACACACATCACACACACACACACACACACACACACACACTCTCTCTCTCTCTCTCTCTCACACACACCACACACACACCACACACACACACACACTCTCACACACACAAACGCTCTCTCACACACACACACGCTCTCTCACACACTCACGCACACGCTCTCTCTCACACACACACACACACTCTCTCTCTCTCACACACACACACACACTCT